CGACTTTCTAAATTAATTGAAAATTGTTCAGCAAGGTCGAAACTACCTACATATTAATTTTTATGGGTGTAAGTATAATACTTATGGAGAAATTTACATTTTTTGTAATAGTATTAATTTCGAATTTTTCTTTTACTGTTTATTAACTTTATTAATTGAATATTGTTAATCTACTTGTATATTATGTTTAGTTTAGCTTCACAACATATTTAAAATTGGATTTAATAAAATATATTAATTAATAAATATATTTTATAAATTATATGTGTTATAATAAAAATTTAATTAGGTTAGAAGATTGATTTGCTTATTTTTATATAATTTTTAAGGTTAGATATCAACAATGCTTAGCGATCATAGTAAAAACCTATGCTTAGAGCTACTAATAAAAAATATTTTTGGGACCTTACCTATATCCCTATAAAAAATATTTTTGCTAAAATATACTTAAAATAAACTTAAAATTTTATTTTATACTTAAAATATATTTAAAATTTTATCTTATACTTAAAATATATTTAAATAGGCAAAAATTAAATATCATTTAAGTATAATTTAAGTATATAATAATATACTTAAAATATTCTTATTTTAAATATTCTTAAAATATACTGAAATAAGCAAAATTTAAATGTAAATTAAATATATTTTAAGTATATATTAAATACAATTTAATTCAAATTTTGCAAAAATTCAATTTTCAGTATATTTTAAGTATAAAATAAGAAAATTAAGTATATTTTAAAGAAAATTAAATATATTTTAAATATATTTTAAGTAAAATTTTTTTTTATAGGGTATAAGTATTTTCCGGGGTCCTGCAATTCTCCTTCTCAGGTATTTTGCAAAGAATGTGAAAAATTATCTTATTCTGGATATGGATATTGCAATGATCATGCTAGAAAGCACCGTAAAAGGGAACAATACCATCAAAAAAGGATGGTAGACTTAGCTTTAGCGGAGAAACTGGTAGATAATTTAGAGGTAAACGAAAATGATACAACTTGTCATTAGAAAAAAAACTTGTGATAGAACTTGTGACAGAAGCTTATAACGCAGATGATAGGCTCTTTAGGAATTCTAGGTCGAAAGAAAGTTTTTTTGATGAGTGTTACAGGTGGCACAGGCGTTACTGGAAAAATCGGCTAAATCCTAACTTTTTTTTTATTTTTTATAACATATATACACCACATATATATCATACATATACTCACGATACATATATAGCATTAGGATAGCATAGAAAATTTTTGATTTTTTTTCTAAAATTTATTACTCTTTTACTTGTGACACTAGTGACAGTAATCAAGAAAGGAATAAAATAGCCTAATAATCTCAAAAAACATAATGAACATGTCACAGATTGCATCACAGGTTAGTATATGAAACTTATGACACTAGTGATGCTCAAAATATAGCATACATATAGCATACTGATAGATATACCATACTGATATACCATAGAAAATTTGATTTTTTCCTAGAACTTTACTTTTTCTTAGTGACTCTTAGTGACATAGTGACAGATATAAAGGAAGACAACTGAGCGTCTCCAAATTTCGAAAAAAGTATACAGGGGTGTCACTAAGAGCATCACTAAGAGCATCACTAACAAATTTTCTTGGTGACAGCATACATATAGGATGGATTCGATATTTTTTTTTCATATAACTTTACTTTTACTAGGAGCATTAAGAAGCCCAAAAATGATATTAAGATTATCCCTAAAAGCATCCTCAAGAATTTTTCTTATAGGAATAGAAAATTTTTATAGGGACGGTAAAAAAACTTAACAAGGTACTTCTAGTATCTTCTTTGATGATTTTTTATAGAACAAGATGTGATATATTTATATTTGCATTTCGAATTCTCTGACCCGCAGGTTAGCAAAAATCACGTGACTGGCACAGTAAGATGCAGTACTGGCCAGCATTATTTCACAATTTCGGCCAGATACTTGGATATAACAACTCGGCATTCAAGCTGGCAAACTACCAGTTCCATGACAGTTCCATGACAGTTTCACGATAGCAACCAGGTCACTATCATGGTGCCAGGCTGGATCCTCAAATTACATACCCAAAAGATCGGCCAGAATTATGACATAGTGTCCAGCCAAAATTAATCACAGATCTAGATCGAATTACTGCGCCACCTGACACCTTTTTTTTACTCTATTTCGGTATCTAGAAAGGCAACCAAATAGGCGCAAAGGGTAAGTACTCCAATATAGAATCCAGCACCCAATCAGGCGCAGAAGCTTAACACCTCGACATAAAACTAGATATCCAAACAGCTACAGAAGGTTGACAATAGCATTATAAAATTTAACATGTAAACAACTCAGAAATAAGAAGAAAAGCGTGGTATTTAAATTATATGTGTGTAGTAATTAGATTATATTGTGGTAATAAAAGTATATTAACATAAAAAACACAAATATCAAGAAAGACTTAAATACATAATTAGAATGTAAAAATGGTATAAGAAATAATAAAATGTTAGATTATATGTGGTATTTAGACTGTATTATTTAGATTATATGTGGTAATTAGATCACATCATTTAGATTGTATGCGACATTCAGATTATATATGTGATATTTAGATCATATGCGATATTCAGATTATATGTGATATTTAGATTACATGCGGTATTTAGATTATATGTGATATTTAGATTACATGTGGTACTATAATCTAGAGTAAGTGGAATACCACATGTGATATAATTATATCACATGTGATATTCCACTCCATGTACTGGAATTGCAACCAGTATATTATATTGGTCCCAGCTTTCATGGAGATTATAACTTTCCATGCATTACCTGTTGTGGTAACAGCAGCTTTAAGTAAATCAACTCTAGAGCAACTTGGAGGAATATATGATGGTGAATTTAAAGTTGTATATGAAATGATGGTAACAGCTAATTGCAAAAGTAACAGTGGCGGTAGTAGTACTTCAGGAGGACCCAGTAAACCTGGTGGAAATAAGTCAAATAATAAAAAAAGATGAAAATTTGGAAAGGAAGAAAATGATGAAGATGAAGATGATGATAGAGATTATAGAGATTATAGTGATGGTGATAGTGATAATGATGGTGGTGATGGTGGTGGCAATGATGGTGGCCATAGTGGTGATATTAAAGGGAGAAAAGTCATTAAAGTTTCTTCTGTGGCATCTGTTGAAAGTGAAGGTCATATTCAAATATTTGGTATCTGTGTTCATTTCCATGCAAATATTTATAATGATGATGAATTCAACCGAATGCTTTTAATCAGTGCTGATATATCTGAATGTAGAGCAGGTCAATTGCTTAATCAAAATTGGAAGCAACTTTCCAATTTAGGTAGTGGTTATTATCTTGAATCTGTTACAATTAGCTTTTTTCCAATTACAGATGCAACTAATAACAGAAGTGCACTATATGAGCTAGAATATTACTTTCCAAAAATGAAAAATCGTACTGTTGAAAGTTTGGGGGCATTATCAAAGGTCGGATTCCTAATGAAAAAATCTGAAAGTACCAAGATTATATCAGACGAATGGCACTTGAAAACTGGGGGTTCTTAGAGTATTACCGGGGATTATTGGACGTATGAATATGGAAAAAGGTCTCCTGATCAGGTTCAACTTGAACCTGGGAATCACACTAGTAAATGGCTTATTGGTAAAAAATGTGTGGGTTCGGTGTCAAAATAACTCAAGTTTTACGCTTTAACTTTACTGCCGTTGGCGTAGTCAATAAATTGATGGACTTTAAGCCTAAGCTGGCCAAGGTTTCTCATACCCTTGAAATTAATTTCAACGGCCTTGAAGATTTCAATGAAAAATTTATGTCACTTGAACGTTTTCGTAGTGGTGAGAATCTTATATTCACTGTAAATAATAATACATGTACTGATGTGACTGCCAAGACAGATTCTGGTTTTGTCAATATTGAACGTTCAGTTTATAATGAAAAAAACTAAAATAGAAAATTGTTAGCATGAAATGGTATCATTTTGTAATAATTTATAGCTATAAATAAAAGATTCGATATTGTCATAAAAAAAATTTATGTACGTAAAAAGAGTGAATTAAATAAATTAACAAAGATAAAAAATAAATTAAAAGACTAATCATGGGTCGGAAAATTTGGAAAGACTTGGAAAACCTTTACCATCGGTAACGATCCGAATCATGTGACTTCTATAACAGTTTCCTCCCCCTGTCAGGTAAGTAAATCTAACAAAACCCGACTCTATTTTAACTAATGATCCAGAAGAAACACGAAAACATATCATGGGTTAGTTTTAGAGCGCTTTCCTTATCTTTAAGGAATAGTGACAGATCTAATCTATATACAATGGAGATCATAAAGAAAAAACCCTTTTCTCTTCTTGAAAAAAGAAATAAAGCAACAATTTATATCTAGCTCTCTTTTTCTGAATATCGTTTGCCTATCGCTGATCATGAATGTAGTGAATTATCGGGTAAATGGGTTGCGGTAACTATTGCGGAGAACGAATTTATCGTCTCAAATGCTGGAACGATCTTCAGGGTGGTCAGTAAGTGATCACCAGATCGGACAACAAAATTACACAGTATTTTTTTCGCAAATAAAATTCGTCCTCACTTATCTATAAAAGCCGAAACATGTCTATCACTTTGCTTTGCCTCGTTAAAGGAAATACTCTAGCGAACGCTTTTCCTGTCGATATTAATCAGGACCAGCTTGTTGGACACCTCAAGGACGCTATTAAGGCGAAAAAAGCACCCGAGTTCGACAATTTTCCCGCAGACGGGCTTAAGCTTATGGAAAAAGGAAATTCCTGACGATCGCGACGATCTCTTAAGCAATCTCACACTACAGGACCCCTTGCAACGAAAAAGATTTCGAAATATTTTCCAGACTCACCTTCGAAGAGCATATCCATGTCAATGTAAAGTTGCCACGTAAGTGTCTGGAGTTCTGGTATAGTCTGTATTTTTCGTCATTTGCCCTAGCATAACGCGTATTCGTTTCCAGTCCTCAGCTTGGAAGAAGCGTTGTCGTGCATTCCCCCACCAGTAACATATTCTCCGAAATGTACTAAATCGAAGACCACTACAAAGGTTAATGGTGTCCCGCCGACAAGTGTGCAACTTTGGGACGACTTTTTCGATAGAGTGACTTCGATCAACAACCGAGGTTCGAGAGGCCGAAGTTTAATGATGAATTTATCGTACATATTTTTTTACTTTGAATGTTTATACGCAGTGTATTAGTTATATATAGATCATGTCAACTGATCTTGAATTATCAAAACAACGTATCACTGAACTTGAGGTTGAGAATGTAGATCTTAGAAGAAAGATCTCAGAGTTTGATGCTGAGATAGCTGAATTTAAGCGCAGGATTTCTGAGGCTCTAAGAATGACTGAGGAAGAGAGAACGAGGCGTGATGCCGAGAATGCTAAACTCAAGGCAAGAATCGAGGAGTTGAAATCTGAGAATGTTGAGTTTAGAGATAGACTCACGAAAGTGGAACAGAATCAGTTGCAAAATGACTCAAATGGAAATGATACTCCTACAATAACTCATCTAACTTCAATTCGGGTGTAGACCACCATGAGAAGTCATCGCAGAAAGAAGAGGTGGATAATTTCTTGGACGAGGCGTATAAGAAAAGCATTAGCGATGGTATTAGGTAACGCAATAAAGAGAAGAAACTCCAGCGTGAATCGGAGAAGTTAGTCACCGAAGATAGTATGCTGGAGGTACCGGAATCACTTCAAGTCCAGAAAGATATTGCGAGTTCTGTTGTGAATTCGAACACCATTAACGACCGGGGAGCTTCGGGAATATCGGAAGAAATTGGGAAAACCGTTACGATCGGGAAGTTTCGGAAAGATCGGAAGAAATCTAGAAAACCGTCAACCAAGTTAACGATCGAAACGCTTTGGAAAAGATGGAAGAAATCGGGAAAACCGTTAACTATGTTAATGATCAAGATGAATCGGCGGTAGATCCGAATATAGTAACCGAATTCGTTCAAGGTTTGTTGGAAGAGCTTCTCTCATCTGACGATCAACTTTTGAAACATATAAAGTTTTCTCCTCTCAAAACCCTAGATAAGCATCAAAAACTTGCCAATTCTTCTGTCAAGCAAATGTTGCAAGAAATAAATTGATCATAGCAAAGCAGGCAGAAATAACAGCTTGGTGTTTATTCTCCGAAAGGTTCGAAGATAAAGTCGTGGAGCTTAGATCTAATGATAAGAAACTTACGAAACCATACCTTACGGGCGTTTCCGATGGATATTTACGTGTAATGACCTGTAAAGTAAGAAAATCAATAAGCTATTTGGCTATGAATATGACCTCGTAACTCTGAAAAAGATTGATGGTATAACAGGGTATATGGTTTAATCGGGTCACCTGTAGTGCTGACAAAATTTCAAGATTCACTAACCCTCAAATCGAATTCATTATAGAACAAGTCAAATCGAAAACTAGTGATCACCAGAGTCGTGTGAATGAGATCGTGGCTACTACTTCAGCCCACGACTCAGATGATAATTTTAGTGACACATCAGATGATACAGATTATTTTAAGGAAGAAGAAGGAGCGAATGATTCGATTGAAGAGGGTTCTAAAGCAGACGATGATGACGATGTGTATTTTCATTCCGAAGATGAGGAAGAGAAAGGAACGAATGAAGAGGTGCCAAATATGGCAGATGATGATAGTGATTGTAGCCACGACAATGATTCCGACGATGATGATGGATATAATAGATACGATGGATACGGAGGATATGATAGTGATAGAGGTTATTATTATCGTGATGGAAGATACGAAAGAAAAACCTCACCAATGATGAGTCCTATTATCTCTCCGGTAACAGCCTAAGAGAATTATTATTATTTCGTTACTTCGTTACTTCGTTCTTTTTTTCGAATCATGCGGGTGGCTTAGCTTCGCATATTTCATGCGCAATAATACCTAGGTAATACGTCATTAACGTTATTAGTCGGTAGATCCTGATTCTATTGGCTGGAAGTCTTCACGATTATCATATGACATAGGCACATAGCATATATCATGGACTACGTCTCGAACTTTTTGCCTTAAAGAAAATAAAAGCCCTTTTTTCTCATAAATTCGAAAAAAGAACCCCATTAGAATAGGCTATCTCCTGCAGATGCGTAGCATCAAAGGAGGGCTCAATGTATTGCAAATAAAAAACGTTTAGGGTGCTAAATGACCCAAGCAATGTAGTAAAATATTTTTCTCGTGGCGATTAACGATCTTTTAGATAATATATACCAATTTTTTACTGTTCAAGCGTATATGTATATTACACATGGTAATTTAGGAAATCTGGATCGGCAAATTATTGGGCAATAAGATTGCCAGCGAAGATCCAGGGGCTTTTATTCTCAAACTTATGGATAGCGTTAAATTCTTTATTGTTAAATTAAGGGGATGCCGTTGATATTAATGTAATTTCCCCCCAAAAGCTTATAACAAAACCGATCCTGCAAATATAAAAAGGTGATGTCCTGGTTAGTGAATCCTTTTATCTGTCAAACAAAAATTCAACTGTTCAGATCTTATCATTATTTACAGTACATCGTCAATATCATTTATCGTATATTCCGCAAAGTAATAATAAGGCAAGTTGGTTTATTGTTCGGCTAGATTCTTGAAACATGTCATCACGATGTTAATCTATTTTTCCTCCTTTATAGATGTCCCAAATAAAACGGACATATTACTTTTCTTACTATATATCGGCATTTTGATCTTCGCCACTGACCGTATAATAGGCGCAGTGAAAACATTCATATGATTCTCTCCATAGCACAGCAAAAGTTTGACGCAGTATATCATGGATAATACAGAAAAGAACGGAATATTGTGAAAACGAAGCCTATAGGATTGAAATTTAATCAATCTCAGTAAGTTCTTAAAATTGAAACTTTTATATGATCTGTGCGGGTGGGTAAGTTTGTAAATATAGTTTGTGTGAGAATTTCGTATCGTAGTTAGCGAGCTATAGAATCATAATAAAATCAGTGAAAAATCTATTACGTACGAAGTTTGAATCACATTATGTCATAATACACGTTACATGTATAGTGAATATAAAAAGTTTGAGATAATTTTAGTACCACGTGCCAATGATAAAAGTTTAAAAGTTGATAAAAGCAGTATTTGTCTCCTACTCTTCGTCTTTACACACTATTCTAAATAAAGCAGTATTTGCCTCTTATTTCTTATATTATTTTCTGAACATAAATATTAAATAATGAATATCTGGTTCAAATACAGGAAAGGCGAACCGGTGGAAATTTCTTTTAAGGGAAATAACGTTAATGCACTGAAGAAACAAATTAAGACCGAACTAAAAAACCAGCTAGGAAAATTTGATATTAATCAAATAACATTACGAAAACCTGGAGAACATAAGACCTTATGTGCGGAAATGTTGATTGACGAAGGATTTGCAACGAGTTACAACGAACCTGTGTCGTTGAAACTGGGAAGCTTTTAAGTCAACGTGACGCACGCGCTCGTTACACATATTGTTGTCTTTAACACGTGTCTGTGTGATATCTTGCTAACTATTATCATATTAGAAAATTATCTGGAAATGAAGACTTTTCATATCCAATGTTATGATAATGAAGGTATGCCGTTGGACAAATTTGAACAATTTGAAATGCGCAACAATGAAGATTTCAGTAAATTGTTAAAGAGAGTGGAGGCGAGAGGACTAGAAAACATTGAAGATAATAATAAAGTATCCAAAATTATCACGTCACTTGAGGATATTCAAACTAACAAATTTTACCGGATCAGTGCTTCGTATCTTTATGGCAGTAAAAAATGGTTCTATGTGGACACAAGTCGAGGATGTCGCATTGGAAGATGAAACGAGATTGGCTGTGGTTAACAAAATGCTCAAGTCCTGTCACAGACTTTCCTAAATGAGTTATGCATGACAAAACTGGTAAGCCAATCATGGAGTGGGATGGTATCTTCATATGTTGTAACAAGGTGTTTCTATGTGAATCAAAACACAAAATGACCGAAGTAAGTATAAAAAAATTAATTGATGTACTCTCACGAATCTGTTGGACAATCTCACTGACAAATCTGACATTTTAAGGAAAAGATTACCATGCTTGTTAAAAGATTAATGGAGTTTTCAAATAAACTGGAGGTAACGAAAGATTTCGAATTCAAGAAATTATTGGGTATGGAACGAATTGGAGTCGCTTGTGCCACATTTTTTCCGAGAGAACTAAGTGTGAATGAACTTGGATTAGTCGTTGCATATCCAGGAGGTGGCCGTTATTGTGTAGAAGTACCCTCCAAAATATATGGATGTCATAAATGGTGTAATTATTTATTATTTGTACTGTAGTATCAATCGGGATTTTATATTTTTATATGTGAAGGTTACGTAACATAAAATTACTAATATTTCATTGTAGTAAAATAATTGTACTTTATCATGTATATACTGTAGCTTATGTTTGTGGTGCAAATTCAGTTAAAATAAAAATTATTTAGTTGCATTGCTCTATTCTTTATTAAAGAATTTATTTCAGATCAGAGATTTAATTACATTATTTTCAATTATTTGTACAGCGTAAATACTTATTTCATTTAATAGTCAACTCCCCACATACATCGGGATTGATAAGGTACAGATTGTTAGCAATTTCATAAATTTGGACACCTTGCAAGTTCAAAGCAGAAATGCACTGAAGAAATTACTGTAGAATTTCCAAAGTCAGCACCCTGCAAGATATATACACGCTGTGAATTACGAATGCATTGAGGATTGTGTCCTGTCATCAACATATTTAATACTTACAAAAAAGCATAAGCATATCCAAGATAATCAGTATTATCGGACATAATTGCAATGTAAATAAAGATGAAAAGAAGCGATTCTCGATATAATCATATGGAGATTCCACTAGATAGTGCACAGAAAAAACATGCTAGGGAGTCATTTATCGAGCAAAAAAGCTAGAGACTGGTAGGAAAAAGTATCAAGTAAAGAATTAATAACTGATATTCCTTGTGTTGGTTAGAAACTTGGAAGTAGCGACTGACGCCAGGGGAGACAAAAGATGCATAGAATCTTTAATACTATAGGTAAAGAAAAAATAGCACAGAGTATAGTAGATTTCAAGTTCTAATACTTGAGGATGTTCAGGTATTTTCAAGAAATCTGGTCATCGGATGCTGGAAGGTGGGCCAAGAATGTTAGTTATAACTTCGCGACATAAATAAAAGTTAAGATTACGATTGTCAAGAAAATTCTTAAGAATTTTTCTTGATACTGCCTATTTTTAAATTGAGATATATTAAGGATAACAAATTAAAAACAAAAAATAAATTTTAAAAATGGATTAATCAATCTTTGTATATTTAAATTTTTTAATTAAAATAAAATTTATTAATAAAATATTTACCATTTAAATTAAAAGGTATAGTAATCCCGACCCGCTTCTAAAAATAGATTTTATATAAATATTCTGTGCTTTACCAATAAAAAAAAGCCACTCTGATTAGTCAATCGTACCACTCGTACGACCTAAAAATTCCGTAACATGAATTCACCTTTTTTAATAAATACCCTGAGAATTCGTCATCAAAAATCTAATGAGTAATGATAAAACCGTAATAATCATGTACTGATAAATTACTTTTTTTATTATGCTTATTGATTTTGGTCGAAGTATCTATATTAAAAAATTATGCAAGAGTCTATGTCATGATGTATTCAGAAAAGTATATATACACCTATATCTCTAAATACTTTCCTTTCTAGCTACCTTTCTCTAAAATATATTTTATCACTTACAGCACTTACAGAAGCACAATGATAGCTTCAGTAAATTGTTTGATTCTAGGAGAAGCTTCTAAAACTAATTCGTTGACGAAGTATATACTAATGATGATAAAATTGATGTTGCCTTTGATAAATTCACTGTTTCAAACTTCAAAGAGCTTCTCTTTCGTAGGAAAAAGTAAAAAGGGCAGTTCAAGATCATGACAGTATGGATCTTTATAAAGTTGAACTCAGACTTCCGAACCTTAAAGATAAAATTTATACAAAAGATGAAATTGAAGATCTTGGCGCAATGATGGAATCTATGGTTGAATTTAAAGAATATTTCAATAATGATGACAAAAAACCAAAGTCAAAATGCCTTCATATTTTCATAGTTCCCACCATTGTAGCCCCCGCCACTGGTAAGTGTCTCCCAACGTTTTACCTCTCGAACAAGAAATTTGCAGTAACATAATATCGAGTTTTGTCTGATCTCTTTCTTTTTCGCGTTAAAAGTAGGTCCTTCTCAACAAGGCATTTCACAAGGTACATTATCTTTTTTCCGTAATTAGCTAAAAAGATTTCTTAACAATAGTATTCATTTTATTACTGTTTGTAACTTTTCAGTGACTACACCCAAACCTAAGGATATTTTCAAAGAATTTCTCAACAGCAAACACGGTCAATTTCTCAAAACATACATAAAGAATAATGATCCGTTGCCATCATACGAATCACGAATACAACTTAAACCAACTGTACCCGCTTCCTCTACGGGTGAACGCCCTTCACTCTTAAAGTACAATCTCCCCGGAGGTGATGAAAAACATGAACCAATTACCCGGGTTTCAGATGTTCAGTCCGCGATTGCAAAAGCAAAGAACAATTTATTGATTTTTTTAGGAACATCTGGATGTGGAAAAACGAGGACTTGTTATGAATTACTTTGTGAGAACTGGGGGCTTTATTTTGTCGCGTCTAGAAAAGGAAATGGAGGTTCGGCTGATATCGAGAAAATCCAAACTTATCTTGAAACAAAAATGACAGAAGATTTTGAACAAACCCGCAAACGTGCATTAGGAATTGTGCGTTGTGCAATTCTCTCCCGACTTCTTATACTAAACTATTGTTTGGAAAGTGCATCTGCATTCAACAAACAGCGTTGGCTTCTAATACAAACTTGTCAAGGTATATTTGGAAAGCTTTATGATTATAATGATGATATGTTTGTTGCCCTTATGTTGAAACTCAATACTTGCACACCATTGTCTGTAATGACTTACATTGATAACATATATCAAGAAATTTCAGTTAACAAAACGTTTGTCATTATTCTTGATGAAACTCAAGTACTCGAAACGGTACTTAAGGGAAAGTTTAAATCACGAACAGGTAAACAGAAACGCTCACTCTTGTCTCCCATAATTCAAGCACTGAGACAACCAGCACCATCAATGGTCAATTATTGTGTCATTCCGTGTGGTTCTGGACTCGGAATTCTTTCTCTTGAGGATGTTCGTATTTCAGGAATTTCGAAACCAGAGACTGAGATACCTAAATTTACAGAGTTTGGAGGGTGGCAGGATATTGCTCATGTGAAGAACTATGTTAATAATCTTGTGAGTTTGACAGACAATGAATATAACTGTCTTTATAATCACTTTCGTGGCCGATTTCGTCCCATTGTTACCTGCGTAGAAGATATTATTATGGGTCTTCCGGCTGAAGATGTTATTGATGTACATTGGAAGGTCTTAACAAAGGCTAGTGACAATGATCAATCACTATATCACCAGCTATGTAGGATCATTAAGATGGAAAGACCTAATCATGTGCTGTCAACTAATATTCTTAATTTGTATAAAAGCGTAACACTTGCCTATTACTATTCCGGAGGGTCACTGATACTAGTCAAATGTCATTAGTTGAAAGTGGTTTCGGGCGTCTCCAGTTTGTAAACCCACCTACTATTTCTCACCTAAGGCAAGTATGTAAAGGTATAGATGAAGATAAGTTGCGAATCTCAAGTGTAAATGTACATCCTGCATTGGAAGGAAAGAAATCTTTAGTCGCTTATGTTGACGAACCCTTTGCTCTCACTGCTGGTTTCAACTTCTTTAAGGATCATGATAGTCTTCCAAAAGATATTTTAAATATGATGTCCAAAGTCAATAATGCGAGTTCATGGGGAACATTGTGGCAAATGTATTTACCTGATGAATTTGAGCAAATATTCAACGGGCGGAGTGATATTAGAAATATGCCTGTATTTGCTGAAGTTGCTAAGAAATATAACTTGCCTGCTTTCTGTATAGGATCACCAAAGATTGTCAAATCCTCTGATGTTACTGTTCCACGAGTAGCAAATGCATCCGCAGGTTACACATTGGATAAATTCTTTAATGAATCGCCTGAGACGCGTCCAACATTTTATTTTCCAGAGGATCGTTGTGGTCCTGATATCATTTTTTTTGTTGAATTTGAGCAAGTTACGGTTCCAGTTTTTGTTCAAGTGAAATTACGTTATGTAGTTAAAGAAATGGCGGGGGCACTTGGTACGATCCATCCAGATATGTTTTACAAGAATAAAAACGGAGATGTTTATAATGAGGAATCAAATAAACCCATAATCGATAAGATAATTGAAATATGTAAAGTTGGCTCTATTGGTTTATTGGTCGCCTATCCGGCTGATGTATTCCAAGAATCTTATGTCACAAATAATCATCTGCATGATCTAAGGAATCGATCAAGCAATCAACAGCTCATCGGAATTATTGATCACAAAAATGCATCAACTGTCTTTCGAGGAGATCATCTACAATTTCTAGACGAGCTTAAAGGCACTGCAAAAGAAAGGAACTAGATAGGGGTAAAAAAGGGGAGAATAGTAAATCAAGAAAATCAAGAAAAAAACGCAGGAATCAATAATTATAGCTCCATTAGTGTAATATGCTTATGAAACTTGTTTTTCGTGCTTACATGTGATCAAAATTTATAATTTATTTTTTTCTAAAATAAAAACGAAAATCTTTATTAATTTTCACCAGTAAAATATTGAGTAGCAAGTGAAATATATGACATGCTTTCAAGTGAGCGGATCCTAGGCAAGTTCCTGCGTCATATTATTTATTCTTTGCTCCTACATTTACGGTAAATTTCTACAGCTATTCTAACACTACTACTGCGAGATTCTCACACTTCCAAAATAAACTAAAGTTAGCTTACCGAACATGTATTCATATGAATAATCTTCACGATCAAAAATCACGTGTGTGAACAATTGTTCACGTTGATCACTTTAATTTTTTATTAATACATGCGAAAAATAAAATACAAAGGTTTGCCCCGGATACATGACGTCTATGCTATTGTTTTTTTAATCGATAGCTTCTATCCTAGCCCTCTTCCTATCAGGTTCTTCATCCATACACCCTTCAACAACCCAACGACAACCTCCATAACCCGCTTCACGTTTTACGCAACTCCTTTTCGTCCTCTGATCCTTCCTTCAAAGCAGATTCGGAAAATCGAATATTTAGGGGATCCTTGCTCGTGCTTGATATCGAACCATCCGAGGCGAAAAGGATAAAATACCACTCTGCGCCTGTTGTAACGATGCCGTAGATATAGTCGAAGTCTTCCCAAACGCCTCGCCTGATTTACGTTTCCTATTCTTTTTATTAACCTGTAGAGCGCTCTCGCATTGTACTAAATTCTGAGCAAAGCCCATGGTCACCTGATGCAATTTCCCTTCCGTTATACAAATAAGTTTCTCGAGAGCCTTGATTGCGTAATCAACCCGACCAGTACTTTCTTCACCAACAACTTCGAGTTGAGGAGTCTTTGTTGTTTATTCTTTTGACGATATAGAGCGAAGCGTGGAGGATTGCTGAAATATATTCACGACGCATGGTTCGTTGCTATCGGCAAGTCCCCATGTTTCCCAGCCTACGCTTTATTTCCTTAACACATTGTTGTAACTCCTCGTCATCATCTTTGAGCGGATAGGTTTCTAAGAGTATGGGTAAAAAAGTTAGCCTAGCCAGGTCAACGTCAAGAATATTTGTGCAAAGAGACTTACTCGGTGGGAACTGACGAATGGTGCCTATACCGTTGCCACCAATACCATGTTTCGCCAACACCTCCTTCAAACTCTTGTACAAGGAGAAGGCCCTCAACTTTTTCTCCTTGCTTTCCTTAGCGAAGTCCGCAAGCCTCGTCGCGGGTCCTGTAAGTGGAAAAAATCCTCGGGATTATTGTATGGTTGTTGAAGGAGGCCCAGAAACCAGTTGAAGCTTCTCAAAGTGGAGAGCAATCGAGAGTAAAAAAGGTAAAATCATTGAGTAACCTTATAGGAAAGACTAATTAGAAATAATAGCCTTAGGATAGTTGTCTCAATTTTTGTGATATATTTATCTTTATTGTATTTTCCGTGCTAATTTTGTATTAATAAAGCATGAGTTTGCGATTTAAAAAGTTACAAATAAGAAAGATACAATGTATACATATATAACTCGCTTCCTTTAGAATTTTATAAATAATTGCTCTCACAAAAATTTATTGAATTTTAATTCTAAAGTTAGTTATAAACTTAATGAAAATTTACAACCAACAGAAGTACAGTTTTCCGGTACTTATAACGCTAATTTAACAGAATCTTTTTCAAATTTAATATGGACATCTATTTAATATTTCATGAGCTACAATTGCAATTATTATAATATAAAGAATATAAGAAAATATTGAAAAACAATTATTTAACATGGATAAAAAGATTCATAAAAATCCCAATCATTTACTGTTCCTTGTATAGTTAGACAACTATCTTTGCGGAATGGACCACGCTTTTTATCATCTTCAAAGCTAAAGGGAATATGCGCAACAACATAATGTGTAGTTTGCGGTGTATAATAAGTATAATCCTCATCATTATGGCATGGTCGATCGTATTTATCACCAGATAAGTAATTACCATATTCATCTTCGGTATAAAGTCGACACAATGTACCATATTCCATAAAACTATGGATAAGAGCCTTGTATGCTATATACCAAATAAATTAAAATTCAAATTAATTCTTTTTTTTCTTTCTTTTACAGGCAATTACTTCTTAATATACGTCCAAGAATTTTACCTTCAGTAACCGAAACAATATTCATTATGATACAAATAATGATGAAAAAGGGAAACGAGATAAGACATTTCATACCGGCTAATTTGTGAAAATGATAAAGTTTCGTTGAGAAATGTAAAATAATTTGTTATTTTCCTTGCAAGTGAAAAATTTGTGGATTTTATTTTATACACAATTGATGGCTAGACCTTACACGTGAACAATTGTCTAAATTTCGAATTTTTGGCTTTATCTTGGTAAATGATTTTCAATGCACTAAACGCAGATCCGGTAATAGTACGATGAAATGAATAAATTAAAGGAGACTATTCACATTCCGTAAAATCCTGAGCATAAATTCCTTTAAATTAATATTTGGGGCTAATAATAATGGTGCTGACATGCGAAAATTATTATGCTTTCCGTGAAATGACTCTGATTTCAAGCGTGAAAACCAAACTTTCTAATAGTTAGAATGGACAGAATGAAATAGGAAAATACTCATTATATCGATAATTATAAAAAGTCATTATTTTCAAAATTTTTTGTATTAATAATATTTTCGTTAACTTATTCCCTTTAATAAATCATGAAACTCTTTAAAAATTTTTCAATGATATATTTAGTAGCTTTGCTATTCAATTTCTTTCTTATGGTTACTTCTCGTCCAGCTGGCGGGCTGTGCGCAATAGTATGAATCATTTCATTATTAACAGAGATTGATTTCATAAATTCGATTAAATTACTAATTTATTTTGCTTTTAACGCATTCAGGAAAACTCTTTAGATTGCCATGAACCGGTAACAGATTATTTTTAAATCTTGTAATTTAATTCAACGTATTACTTATCACTAATAGTATTTAATATATTTTTTTTGCAAATTTAGTGGTGTGATCCGGTAATATACTTTATTTTTTTTTATCTATGACATGGTATGTCAATATTAATATACATCTTATCTTTTTTTTTGTATACACAGGATGAACCTCGTTGTGGAGACAAATGCTGTAGCGGGGTAATATATATATATTTCTTTTCTTTTTATGTTATTACTTATTAATATCTTAACATATAATTTCCGTTTTAGAAATGTTGTGGTGACAAATGCTATGATAATGTAATAGGCTTTATTTTGACGGTATCCAATATTCCGAATTTATCGATTCGAAGGGTTTAACTTTTTTCAAAAAATTTCAATGAAATCTTCAGTATCAGTAAATTCGGAATACATGTTTTTGACTATTTGTATGATATTGTTAATTCTTGATACTAAAAAACATTTTATTATTTAGTATGTAACCTGTTGTAATAATGTAGTATGCGGTCCGGTAATTATGCTTTATCTTCTCATTTAATGATCGTTAAATCATAAACATTATTAATCAATTTATATTTTTATTCTTTAATCCACTCAGAATCAATATTGTTGCAAAGAACAATGCGTTTCATGGGTAATAGGTTTTATTTCTTAAATCATTTTGCCAACTATTAATATAAGCTTTTATATTAACAATGTTTCATTTTTTTTTTCACACTCAGGATGATCCATGTTAAAACTATATTGAGAATATCAGTTTTTTCTTAACAAAAAAGATTCATTATGAATAATCTTAATTATTTATTTCATCGCAATATGTTATTAAAATAGTTTTTAATTTTCAGATAATAAATAATATATATTTACGATTTTGCATACAGTCAAAAAAGTATCGGTATGTAAATCATGTTGTGTCTAATACAATTATATATGTATAAAGAACTAGATTTTCATCTCGACACCGGGACCCCTTCGGATTATCGATCATGTTGTGGATATATGATAACTGATTTACCACTAGGATTGCCTTTTCGGGTATCTTATTGATTATTTTATAATAAAGCGATCAAAATTTTGTATATCACTAATTATACTAATCATAAAGTGTGTATCACTATTATAAAGTAATCAGAACATATACAATAAATCACAATACAGCAAGGAGCAACTCATTTTCCTATGTCCTTTTGTAGCTGGAAATTTTAATGAACCTGCCATCTGGCCCTAAGGATTTTGTCAATATGAATTTTATCTTGATACTAAGTTTGAAGGTAAGAATGCAGTAATTTATTTATTTGTGAAGTAGCAAATATTTGCATTTTTAAATTTAGTTGATATGTATTGAAGGTCCTTTAGTAATTAACTTTAAAATTATTATTTACTGTATATCTTATGAAAATTATTATATTATCAGATTTATTTGTATTCTTAACACTTTTAATAAATAGTATCTAAATATTTTAATCTAACCATTCTTAACAATACGTTCAATGATTGTAATAATTGTGTAAAATTTCAACTAATAAATTAATTCTTGCATAGTTATAATCTTTAAAGCAAGTGCTATACTTTCACCATAGTGACCATCATACGATAATAATTCATTAAATTCTTAAATTCTAGATTTAACCTATAATATTTTATTATATTCATTGATGTTTTCTTCATCAAAGTAATCCAGTATTTATTAAATTCCTTATCAAATTTAGTATTTGCTTATTATTTTTGCTTAAAACATATCTGAATATGTTGGAAATCTACTATTTAGCATTTTCTTGCCTAAGTAAATATTATAACACTTTTTAAAATAAAAAAGACATTCCAATTTGGAACGCAGATCACTTTTGCCAAAAAAAGTTTTTTTATTACTGCTGTTTTCATACAAAATAAATTTTTGAAATTAACTGCCGACCCGCTGATCCAGTATTTTTAGCTAGGCACGTGATCCAGATTTGATAGTTTTATTTGTAAAATAAATAACAACTGAGTCAGCAGTCAGTTTCAAAGATTTATTTTGTCCCAGGTCTTATAAAAATAGCAGTAATACACGCAAAAATAAATACAAGTTTGGGACGTAGCCTGTGGTACATGCTGTTTTACAAAATGAAATGTTTTTATATTCCAACATTACCAAAAGTTTGAAAAGATAAAGCGCAAATTATCAGAGTTATTCACTCCCTATAAAAAAAATCATTCAGATTATATCATATTTTTGTAAGGCCTTGTATAGGTTATATCCAAAATGAGCTTAATATTGTATAATATTTATACAATATATAAAATATCTAGGATGTGTATAATAATTGTATAAAATTGTATAAAAATGCACAATATTATAATTTACCTAATAATTATACGGTATTTGTTTCATATTTGTAAAAACTAGGTGTATAAAAATGTACAACACTACAATTTATCCAATAATTATACGATATTTGATTTATTTTTGTAAAAACTAGGAATTTAGTAATTGTATATAAAATGCACATTATTATAATATCTTTTAAAGTGTATTATTAATATTAAGTCATATAAAAATGTACATTATTATTATGTATTTTATCCAATAATTATGCAGTATTTGTAATACTAAGTCGTATAATATTGTTGTGTATTTTATCCAATAATTACGCAGTATTTGTAATACTAAACCGTATAACAATATATGATATTATTATGTATTTTATCCAATAATTACGCAATTTTTGATATTTTTTTTTGTTGTAAATTGTTATTCATCACTATCAACCTCTTTGTCTACGATATAAAATAATTTATCAATTTCAATAAAGCCTACACAATGGTCAATAGCTGATGCATCTACAAACTCATATGCTTCCATTCGTCTAAATGTTTTTACACTGACATCATCTTCATTAACAGGAAATATATGTGGGTAGGTGGGCATATTATTTCCTTTTTTTTATTCTTTTCTTTTGAATGAGTTGGTGGGTACATTTTTGTAAGTTTTAATAAGAAAAGAATTGAAAATAAACAAAAAAACAATCACGCGATTTTATCTATTTTTAGATATCACATGCATGTAATCATAATGATCCTAATTGGTTAATATATATCAATAACAATGATGATTATTGGAGAATTAAGTTGATTTATAATATTATTGATGTAATTATTTATTGGACGAACTTATTAATGATTATTGAGAATTTTTTTTATTTATGTATATAATTTTATATCATTTTTAATATTTTTAAATATTACAGAATTAATTTTTTTATTATCTTAAACAACATCGACGTGACATAAATAAAATTACGTTGATAAATTTATATTTCAAAATAATCTGATTGAATAATCATACGTGATATACATCCAATATCCAATATGAATAAATTTAGCCGCTGCTTTGCATCGGGTATTAATTGATTAATAAGCTTATAATAGATCACGGGCGATGGTCGCAATTATAATTTATTTATACAGACTAAATGTTTTAATTATATAGATTCTAGATGGCATAATAATGAAGATTAAGAATTATCATTTTTGTTTACCCGCATAGCTTTTATGTTTATCAGTTGTTTTTTATAAGTTCAAAAATCAAAAACCAATTAACAATATTATATTAAAAAATAAGAAAATTTGATATAAGAATATTGTTTATTATTATAATAAAAAATATAATAAAAATAATAAACTAAAATAAAAGATTAAAAATGACAATTTCAGGAGGGAAGAAGAAGGGGAAGGGGAAGGGGAAAACAAAAGGGAAGGGAAGGGGAAGGGGAGAATGAAAGGTAAAGGGAAAAACGAAAGGGAAGGGGAAGGAAAAGGGGAAGGGAAGAACGAAAGGTAAAGGGGAAACGAAAGTGAAGGAGAAGGGGAAGGGGAAGGAAAGGGAAGGGAAAATGAAAGGAAGGGAGAGTCTATTTTTCGCAAAATTCATAGAATAAGATTATAGTTTTACGCATTAGTGATATATATCCATCTAATTATAAATTCATGATTAATTAGTATTTACCTTAATTCCTATTTCTTCTTCTTCTATTTCTTCTTCTCCTCCTCTGATCGCTGCTATTGCTGCTGCTGCTACGGCTTCGGGAACGACGCTGGCGTCGTTCCCTATACCTATAGGTCCATCAATCCACTCTCTGCTGCAGGTATGCCCTGGGTAACCTATCTAAAATAAAAAGAAAAAAATGTAAATATAAATTTAATGAATTAGTAATATATACAAAGTATCATAATTAAGATCGAATCAAT